TCAAGTATATCGTGTATACGCGCCGTGGATTAGACACGGAGTGATGGCCGGAGATTACTATATCCTACCGAACAGCGACACAGTTGTGTTGGGCGGCACTAAACAGGCCGACAATTGGAGCCGAGAAGTGGACCCCAAAGATAGTGAAGATATAATGGAAGGATGCGCTCAATTGGTTCCCAGTGTTAAAACGGCACAAGTATTGAAAGAATGGGTCGGTTTAAGACCGGGAAGAGAATCAGTTAGACTGGAGACAGAGGTAATCAATAATTTGGGCAATAAATTACATGTGGTTCACAACTACGGTCACGGAGGGTCAGGCGTTACCCTATCATATGGCTGTGCACTCGAGGTTCTGCAAAATGTCAATCACATTTTAGCCGCTAATATACACTCAAAATTATAATCTTTTTAAATTTAAATAAACAATTAAAATGTCTGTAAACTCATTATAAATATCGTTGATATGATAATCAAAATGATATAATTAAGTGTTTTGAGTAAAATGTTTTGAATTAATGGTTAAAATCAATAACAAAAATATAAATATATAAAACAGAAGTTATAATCGAAAGTCAGTTCATTTATTTTGACAACTTTTCGATGAGAGTATACATTAGTTTCTCAAGTAATCGTTAATTTAAACAAAAATCAGTTTTTAAAATAAGATAAACAATCGATGGGAGAAAAAAACTGATGAATTGGTAACAAATCACTAGTTATTGTGAGCAAAATGAATGAAAAATATAGTTATTTNAATGAGAACCACCGCTGATGTCATGCCTATTATTCCGCCACCGATTACAGCAATTTTGGTTCGTTTGACAGACATTTTGGATTAAAAGATTTTTTTAAAAGAAAAGTATTACTTTAAACACAATTTCTCTAAACGACTGAAACTAATTACATCTAATCAAAGAGTATTTAATGGATTGAAGTGTTGTTTGACAAAAAGAGATATGAATTTTATTAGATTTCTGTCAATCCATGTCTTCGCTCATGAGATAATTATACTTATTTGTGAAAAATTATTTATTTTTAGTGATAATTGTCTGAATTTGACGAATATTTAGATAAAGTTCTCAATAAATTAGTTTTACAGCAAATGCTTGTTTTTAAAAACGATAATCTCATAGCAAATAATTAATTAAGAAACATTGTGGTAACTTTTATTTATCAATTTTTAGTATTTGTCTAATTCAGTGAAGTGTATGATTATGTAAAGTTTCCATTGGAAACATATGATTAAATTACATTAAACAGGGATTATTATGATAAATGTTACATGTGATGTCATACATACATGGTATATAAAGTATATTCTTTATATAATAAGTATATCGGTTTGTACTTTTATTTTAATTATTGGCTTCTAATCCTAACTGACAATTGTCATTTAATCATCATATTATTTGTTACCGTATATTGATTTTGATTTGTCTTAATTAATGCTAAAAATACAATTGATTATTTAATTAGCATTTATTTAAGTAAAAAATTAATAACATATGTAAAAATATAACAATTTTTAAAAAATGGTTTATTGTTAAAATAATTGAAATATAAATTGCTTCAATTGATGACAGGCTTTGGCAGCGAATCTTGTTTTTGAAATATATTCTTAAGTGATAAATAGTATGAATACCTTCTCTCAGCCTTTTCCTGTAAATCAACGATAAAAACACAAATTATAAACATTTTGAAAATTCATCAAATCTGTCATTCATTACCAGAAACTCTTCAACTAAATTGCTTTCCGTCGATACTTTCCACAAACAAAACATAACATCAATAATAACTCCGACTAATGCAAAAAGTTTTGCCTCTTTTATCAACTCATGCCTAGAGTTGAGGACATTCTTAGAGAATTCATTTCCAGTCAAACGATCCGATTCTTGAATGTATGCGTCAATGAATGGAGTCATCTGTTGATCGGTAGGGAAGGGATCGGCGCCGAAGTGCGGGTCCGTATGTTTCCAACTCGAGAAATATCGGCCCAAATCAATGCCCCGATAGTTATGACTCGTGAAGTCAAAGTCAATGAAAAAGAGGTCCACTTGTGAGCCGTTTTGTTGTATTAATATATTTCCCCGATTGAAGTCACAGTGAGAGAGAACCAGTATTTTGGGTGCACTGGTAATGGCATCCCTAACCCAACTCATCTCGTGACCCAAATTTGCTCCTTTGAGACACTCGTGAGGACTACCGTTTATTATATCAATCATTTGCTTGCTTTTGATGCCGTCAAACATGCCTTCCCTGAAGTACTCGTCAAACACCACATCCAACCACCGATGGGTTCCATCTCTTGGTATCGGAGACTCTAATGAATGAAATTTTGCCAATTTTTGTGCCAATAGTGTTACGATCGCCGGATTCTCGTCATCCAAATAATTGTACGAACGGCTCTACAGTTGTGTTAAAACCCTGGGTTTATTTTGTAATTATATTATGATATCATTTCTAACCTCAATATATTCACAGATCATTCCATTGGGAAAAATACCCAAAACTTTTGGCGCTAAACCAGACTTTGAAAGAAGTAGTGTATTAATGGTTGATATGAATGGGCTGTAGAGGAAGAACTCGTCTTCCAGAGCCATCTTAACCACCACTGCTTTGCGCTCACAATCAGTCAAATCATTGGTATTATTGGCAACATTTTGCTTGCAATAAAATATTTTATTAAAAAATCCATCACTAAAAACACATACAAGACATGCGATAATTCATATTCTCATGTTTAATGTATAATATATTTGATTTAATACTCACGAGAATCGACTGACAGTGAAATTATCTCTTTTCCAAATACCCCCTAAATATTGTTCACATTTTTCAATAACAGTGTTTCGGTCGCTCTCTTCGACATTGTCTGAAAGTCGAGGCATTATTTATTTGACCACAAAATTTAGCAAATAATTGGTTTATTAACTTCTAATTAAAACTTTCATTTAATGAGCACCAAAACTAATTTTTAATGCATTTATAAATGCGAATTATAAATCATTGATAACTTTTAATGCCTACTGACGTCAAATGTGACAATCTTTAGGGTATATTGGATCTTAAAATATTTATCAATTGATATCAGAGAAGAATTATTAATAATTATATTATAAAATAGATGTCTTTCAGAAAGATTGGTTGATTGTTAACCATGTTTGTAAAGATAGTTCTAGATATGTACTCTAAAATTGCACTAAACATGGTGCAAAGCACTGATTTTAAATGTTTTAATGCAAGGACTTTTTAATACACAAATACATCATTTGTAATAATTATAGATTAGATTTATTTTCAGTCACTCCTATGTCTAAATTTTGGGAAAAAATATTAGCATTTATTCAATTATATTATTGACAAATAATAAAATTTTACTTTTTTATAAAATAATTGTTTTATTAATAACAAATAGTTTGGATATTAATTAAAATATTTATTTAATATTATTTTTGATATCATTTTATTTGTAATTAATTATTTGTAAACCCATTTAATAAGAAAATATAATTGATAAATTACTGGTGCAGTATTTTATACATTAACTTGTAAGGAAATAAAGCCTTTTAATTATAATTACAAACTGATAAGTAATATACTTTATTAATGGCAAAAATCGCACTAAATATTTGGCGAAACAACGATAAGATATTGAATATTAGTTATATTTTGTGTCAAAAGAAACTTGTGTTTAAATGAAATGAATAGTTTGTGCAAAATATATGTCACACATTGTCTACAAATTGTGATCCTAAAGATAGGGCACAAGTGATGCCATTTAGTTATACCATATTATATAATCTAAATATAGATTTGCATAACAGAGTCAGCACTAG